AGAGTTTTTTGATATCTAACATTCTCAATACTTAATTATTTTCAAGATAATACATTTCTTGCTTAATTTACAATGTGTGCTTTTCTTCCGGTTTCTTACTTTTTCCTAGAATGCAAAGAAAAGGAAAAAAAGTACATTATAGATAAAGCTTTAGTTTAAATGGGGAGAAGGACACAAACGGATTTTTTCTGTGAAAGCGATTTACTCTCATTGCCAAATCATCATTGCTTATATTATTCGATTTATAATACGTTAACTGACAGGTTATAAATAAATAACAAATTATATATAAGAGGAAAAATAAATGTAAGATTATAAATAAATTATTTGAATAAATTCTACTTAATTGTTGTTGGTTATTGCCGTAAACAATAAAAAATTAATAAGTTTGTAATGATATTAGTAATAATATTGAATATGAGTATGTGGCTCCACAAGCATGAATTATTCATATTTTAATTATTCATATTTTTATTTCCTTAATACATTTAACTCTCTAATTATTTATTGTAAATATGATAATATTCGACTCTTATTTGCCCTGTCAATTAGATAATTTTATTTATTCCTGTTCGCTTGAAATACCGACCAGCTACTTTGAAAAGGTTCGAATACGTCCAATCACATTGACAATAAAAGATAAAGAAAAGATCTATGTATTCTTGAGACGCAAATAATTTTGGACAATTGAATATTAATATAAGCGTGTCCTTTTTCCTATCTATATAAATAATTTTCGATCGTAATTATCATGAAAAAAACTGAAAAACACATCAACACATAAGAATTTTGCGATCGCAGGGAGTGAATACATCTAATGAATGTTGTTACTATAGATGGAGGTGTTACAACCGCCTTTGGCAGTTGACACCCTATGCTGGAATTTGCTTTTGCGCCCAGTCATAAAGGTTGCTAATAGCGAATTCGATTGGACGCACTCAGTGCGCACTAGTGCAATTAAAGCCGTTGTACATAAAATAACGTAAAGAAATGTTTATAAATAAACATAGAAATCGATCAAATCATGAAATACTCAGTATATTTTATTGTACTATTAGGTAAAATATGTATTTCATAATTTTAAATATTTGTATTTCATTTTTATACTCAAATTAAATCAGTGCGGCAATCACAACGGCTTTAATATGCACCAGTGCGCACTAGTGCTTCCAATCGAATTCGCCATATCTCTGAAGTAGGGATGATCGATCTAGGCAAAACAATGATTTTTTTAATCGACCTGAATCGCAACCGCGAGTATCGATTCACCAAAAAATTGAATGTCAAAAAATCGATTCGACAAAGTTCGATTTAAATAATCTATGCTAATTGCATATTATAGCCCCTTTTGTAAAAATAACAATTTCAATGCATATGGCTGGTCACAAAAAAGTTGCAACACTTTTTTTTTCGATGTCTTTCGAAACTCATCTTTGCTTGTAGAGTAGTTGAATGTAAATGATAGTGGCTCTATAAGAACTAATCGTTCGGTGAACAAGCTGCATTCTGAAACTCATGGAAAAAAAGTGTTACAACCTTTCTGTGACCAGCTGTACACGGAAGATCGAAGAGAGAGGTTTCTCTCTGCTCGTACAATTTCAGATACGTTAAGGGGATCTTAAAGCAAAGCTCGAACTCCAACAAAATAACTAGATGTCGCTGTTTTTCCAGCGATCGACATATCTTTATACAGGTATACTACCACACCAATATATCTCACGCAACCTATGATACATTCAGTCGCGCGTTCGTGTCAATTTTCGTATAACAAATTCGTCGCGATAAAGCATCTATAAGTGTAATTCTAAGAATTCGACGTTATTTGTTCGTGCAAACAAAACTACGTGTTTCACTATTTCGTAAGTATATTTTACAAAACTTTCGTATCAAGCAAATGTTGTCACTTGACAGCTTGAGACGCCATGTTACACTAAGAAATGGTAAAAAATATATCAATTTCGAAATTTTTGGTCGGCATAAACTCCCCTTCACAAATACGTATTAATGCGTATACTTTAATCCTGGAAAAGGATTTTCGAATCTGTGAAAGAGAAAAAAAGTATTTGTTATACAAAAAAATTATATGATTTAGTCGATAATATACACGGCTTTAGGATCTAGGGTCGCGTGAGTCTCAACTGTTACTAGGGTCGCGCCGGTCCCAACTACCACTAGGGTCGCGAGGGTCCCAACTGCCGCTAGAGTCACGCGGGTCTTAACTGCTGCTAGGGCTGCGCGGGTCCCAACTGCTACTAGGGTCGCGCGGGTCCAAACTGCTGCTAGGGTTGCGCGGGTCCCAACTGCTACTAGGGTCGCGCGGGTCCCAACTACCGCTAGGGTCGCGCAAATCCCATCTGCCACTAGGGACGCGCGAGTCCCACCTGCCGCTAGGGTCGCGCGGGACCCAACTACCGCTAGGCAAGTGTTGTTAGGCGAGTCACCTTTTAGCGCATGCGCATTGCAGCGTTAGTAAAATCCAATAACGTACACAGAATAAATTTTAGTTCTTTAAGTCTTCGTTATCGGTAAAGATATAATAATTATATTTTTAAAATATGAATTAATATTTCATTATTAAAACAAAAATTTAAATTAAAAATCTTTAATGACTGTTAAAAAAGAAAAATATTTATTTAATTTTTTTTAAATTTTTATACCTTGTCTAATTTATTTCTATATGTACTTAATCTAATATTAATTTATACTTTAAGTATATGATTATTGTCTCCTTACGATTGAAGAGATGATTTACTCGAAGTTATGAAATTTATTTCATCACTATTCATTTTAAGAAGAAAATACATTTAGCCTTAAACTTGTATCTTCTTTTGCTCATATCTTTGGTTTTTTATCGAAATTTTTCTCATTTTATAATCCTTATTGATTTTCCAAAAAAATATATTATATACAATATATAATCTATATACAAGAATTATAGATACGTCAAAATAGGGCCTCACGGGATCTTTATAAGTTTGACATTAATACAGCACTGATGGTATGTCCAAATGCGCATGCGTCAAAAGATGACTCGCCTAACAACACTGGTGGGTATAAAGAGAGTGAAGCCAATCCTGGTTCTCCTTCCTGATTGGTTCCGCCATTTTATTGTTAGTTAGATTAACTGTTAGTTAGAGGAAGACGACGTTAGAAAAAGAAAAGGTTAGGATGAGGAATTATTTGTTGTAAAATGGCGACTTCCGGTTAATTGGTTTCACTCTTTTTATACCCACTCTAGCGTGTGTGTGTTACAGCGCCGCACCACGATAAATGACTGAACTTATAGGCATGGAAAAGTGACGTTTTGACGACAAAATTTGTGTTGCATGCTATTTCCTTATTATTTGCTTAATTGTAAAAATGTGACTTGTTTCATTCTTGTCAAAATCGTAATTATTGAAGAAAATAAAGTTGACTTGGAATTTGATATGTAAAAGCGTATTTTTCATTCGTTTCTAACAGCTGTCAGACCGTGCGTTTCTGCCCGAATGTAGGCTCACTTTACGTGTTTTTTATAACCATTTGCTGACTGTCAAGGGATGAAAAGATAGTTTTGTTTGATTTTTACAAGTGTTTTAAAGCGATCTCGTCATTTAGATTTATCCAAATTGTTTTTATTTACAAATGGCATGCAACATGAATTAATGTGTCATTCCTCGCTTCTGACGTTACGATTCCAACATGGCCGCGGCGACTACTCAGGAGCCTTAATGAAAAATAACTTTATTGTGGTGTTTTGAAAAGCTTTTGACACCAGCTATTAAATTCTGGCATCAAAAGTAGGATGTTCTATTTAAAAAAATCAATTTGACCTTGACCTGACCTTAACGACGCCATCCAAGGTCAAATCAGTGATACCTTCTTATGTCCCTCTCCGAATCATACAACTTTTGTTTGAAACATTTTTCCGTGTCTATCATAGTTTTCAAGAAATCTTAATGCGTTATTTAAAATGGGACACCCTGTATATTCTTGTTAAAAAACAGAAATCCGATAAAATATGCGTCAATAGTAATTTGCAATTTATATTTCGATACATTTGGCTCAAATTACTTAGTGCTTATTTGATAATGAGACTACTTTTCTTTTTACGAGGAAATGATATTTTCATCTCATAATCATTACTTACCTCATAAACAATTTGTTATTTTTACGTACGAAGTGACTAAAGTCCTGTTGCAAATTATAATGTGGTACGCAACATTCTCAACATCGATCAATTTAATATATACGAGTATCTTCCACGACTTATATACATTTGACAATCTCAAATTATCGAACTGACAATCCGGTATTACCGTAATCATATTGATTACCCATGTCACTTTCTTCTTCATACAAAACCGTACAAAACAAGGGGAGCTAAGTCGCGATAGTACATTGCAAAATAATCCACGTACGATATGAATCCGGAAATGGAAAAATACTATGCCATCAATAAATTATTTTTGTCACGAATCGGTGCTTGGCCGTATCAGCGAAGAGTACTGAAAGTGTTCTTACCGTGTCTCTTATCAACGATGCATTATTCTACCTTCGTAACTCAGGTAACATGTCGTATTATAATAATTTCAAATATAATTGTGCAGATTTTTTAAGTGAATTTAATTCTCTCCTTATATTAAAAAATATATTTGTAACTTGTACTTTAATATTGCCTATGTCATTGTTGATTTTTAGGTGCTTCTAATATACGATACTTGGGGTAATATAGATGTTACCATTGAAGCTATAAGCACCATTATTTTTATTTTTGCTGCTAGTACAAAGTTAATTAATATCGTTGTGAATAATCACAAAGTAAGTATTATACAAATCAATATCGGTAATATGTATTCGCTATTATCATCATTTTTTGCATTATTGATCAGTTTCGACGGTTATTACAACTTATGTGCGAACACTGGGAGCTTTTTAATAGCAAATTCGAACGTCATATCATGAGATATTACGCTAGTATCGGCCAAAAAGTGACAAAATACTTTGCAGGTACAGGAATAAAATTTTTTAATCTTTACAGATAAATCATGATGTATCAGAGACTATTGTAATAGCAAAAATCTTATGTTCAACTTTTCTAGTGTAAATATATCTACAGAGTGATCTATTGATTTTTTAATATCTATACTTTAATACTTTTATATGTAGAATAATTAGAGGAATCATATTGTGTAAAAAAATCATACAATTCGATTTAAGAAAGTGGAGATGACCTTCATATCTTTTTGGCGCCTCCACGTGGAAAAAAAGCATGACCAAAATACGTCCGATTTGAAACCGTCCCACTTTCATTTGAAACATTTTTTCCTATCTCCAAAATTGTGGACGTTATTTGGGTGGCCGGTCTTAAGTGACTCACCCTGTATACACAGAGTGGCCCATGTAAAGTGTTACAAGCTATTATCTCTGAAAGTGTGTGTCAAATGACTAATATGTTCAGACAAAAGTTTTATGATTTTGAAGAGAGCATAAGATGGAACCATTTGTTTGACCTTGGGTAGCGTTGTCAAAGTGAGAACAAGGCTACTTTGAATTTTTTAAATGGAACCCCCATTTTTTATTACATTTTCTTGTAGCTTATCTCGAAACCTTTTCAAAACTATAATAAAATATTTTTTCATTAAGTATTTTTTGAGTTATAAGGTTTCGAAAGTTACAGTACAGTCGGTATTAGCATTATGCAAGTTGTCCTACCGATGGTTAAAACCTCTTGAATGTTGTTCAGGATCATATCCTGGATAACATTTGTCAAGATCAAGGCCATTGGAGATTATTCCTCTTATTTTCATTTTTGTACTAAAAATTTAATTTTTACGTAAAAATGAAAATAAGAGGTACAACCTCCAATGATCTTGATCTTGACAAATGTTATCCAAGACATGATCCTGAACAACATTCAAGAGGTTTTAGCCGTTGGTCGGACACCTTGTGTAATGTTAACATGCCGGCAATATTATAACTTTCAAGCCTCATAACTCGAAAAGTACTTAATGAAAATGAACCTAATTTAGTGTTTTGGAAAGCTCTCAAGATAAGCTACAAAAATATATAATAAAAAATGAAGGGGTTCCAGGGTTGGAAAAAACCTGGACTTTTTAAAAAAAAACTCAACCCCCCCCACTGGGTTTTATAGGGATTTTGTTGGGTTTTATTGGGGTTTTTTTTGGTAAAGTTGATTATTTGATATTTTTTTTCTCGTAATATTTAGTTTACGTTGTATTTATCATTATTCACTACCTTATTATTACTACCTTATTATCACTACCTTAACTTTTATATGCAGAATGATTAATGGGACCATATTGTATAAAAAAATTATACAATTTCGCTTAAAAAAATGGAGGTGACCTATATATCTTTTTAGCGCCTCCACCTACAAGAAAGACAACATGGCCAAAATACGTCTCCCTTGAAACCATTCCACTTTCATCTGAAACATTTTTTCCTATCTCCAAAACTGTGGGTGTTATTCGGGTGGCCGGTCTTAAGTGACTCATCCTGTATATATCTTAAAATTGATATATGTAAAATTATATCACTTCAGTTATAGTTTAGTATACATATATTTATTAAATATTTATAAATACGTCCCTTTTACGTGTTTAAAAAATTTACTTTTCTACAATTCCAGTAAAACCCAAAAAAACTCACAAATTGCGGGTTTTTTTAAGTGGGTAAAACCCAAAAAAACCTTTTGGATTTTTTTGGGGTGGGTAAAATAACTCTGGGGGGTTCCATTTAAAAAATTCAAAGTGGCCTTGCTCTTACTTTGACAATGCTACCCAAAGTTAAACAAATGGTACCATCTTATGCCCTCAAAATCATAAAATTTTTGTTTAAACATATTAGTTATTTGACACACACTTTCAGAGATAATAGCTTGTAACACTTTACATGGACCACCTTGTATAAAGAGTCTTTTTTAATTAAAATTAATTTTTTCAAAGTCTAAAATTTCCACGTATTTTTACAAAATATTTATGGAATTATAAAATAATCCTGTTGAAAAAGAAGTCTTTTAACATTTAATACAGTTAATAAGTCATATGTTCCCTTTGCAGTATATTTTATCGTCTTAACAATATTTTATTTGCTAATTCCAATGATACCAAGAGTCTTGGATGTCGTAAAACCGCTGAACGAGTCGCGGCCATTGGTATACGTATATGCGGCTGAATACAGAGTAGACAAAGAAAAATATTATTATCCAATCTTACTTCATTGTTACGCTACGAGTTTAACTACCATAATAATTCTGTTCACCATTGATACTACGTATATAATGTGTGTGTTGCATGCTTGCAGTTTATTTATAGCTGTCAGGTGAATAAAATTAAAATAAGATCTCATACTTATATTTTTTACTAACAAGTGTTTCTAAACATTTTGCTTATTTTTGGATGAACAAACTAAAAGTAAAAATCGGTTCGATTAAAATTATATGCTAATTAACAATGTTCCATTTCAAAGCCATCGTCTTGAAAATATTACTGGTGAAGCAGAAACTAAATCAAACGACAACAAAAAAAAATATATAGGAAAGCATTATCATCTATTGATGGAGAAACACGGTTCTACTGGCAATGATTATCATGAATTGATTATGTGCTTGAAAAGACATCAACTTGCATTAGAGTTTGTATTATATGTAAGGTAATTGGGGGGAGGGGGGAAGACGCTACACTTAAGCCTTATTCTTGAATAATTTCTAAATAATGTTATTGAATTAAATTACGAAAAAATATTATTTATATTTTAGAGACCTTTCTTTATTTACATAAATTTACAAATTTAACGTTTAATATTCTATATTATTGGAAAAAATTGATATGTCATACCTTGTAAAAGTGGCATCTTCCTCGTATATACATATATGGATAAGATGCCTCTTATTGGAGAAGATGTCACAAACAATTAAATAATGTAATCTAATATAAACTTATATAATTTACTTATTTACAGTCCATACAATCAAGAGTTTAAGTTATAAAAACACATAAAAGTATGATAAAATATAAATTGAGGAAATATGAAAGAGTTATTTAGGAAGTAAATTGGACATACTTTTATTCGTTTAAACAGCATTTCATT